AACCTTTTTTTTATTTTTTTTATTTTTTAATAAACCTAGCAGTTTCAGAGAACTGCTATGTTTATAATCGGGTTAATCCAGCCTCCAAATCCTTCATAATATATTCCAATCATTATCCGATTTGTTAGATACGTCACCTTTGGATAACACATAATCAATATGGTAATTAAAACCGCTATATACCTAGCATTTTACGGCCTAGAGAATACACCACTATTTAATATAATTTCCACAGACTAACTTAAAATGGTTGATATCCACAAATCCGTAGATCACTACATCTTTTCACCTTCCCATTCTAAAACTAGCCAGATGGGACGCCCGGTTGACATACCCTTTTCCCTACCTATAACAAATGGTGCCCAGTTAAAGTATTGGATACACATTTCAACACTTTTCACAAACAACCACTACTAGAACTACACGGTTCTAGTCTCACTACTGCTAAGTTTATGCTGTGTGTCCGTATGCTATTGACAAGACTTGGTCTCAATGCAACGCATTACTCGGGCCACTCTTTTCGCATAGGGGCAGCAGCATCTGCTTTCTCCAATCACATTCCAGCTCATGTAATCAAGACTTTGGGACGCTGGAAATCATCCTCTTACACCATCTTACATCTTTGCGACCCGGCGAGCCGCGAGTACATGCTTTGTTGTTAAAGCAGAGTAGGCACCTGCTTTCCCGACATTGCTGGTGCCTACTCTGCTAAAACTTACCCGGCTGGGGAGAAGGTCCAGTGAGGGAGCTCAGTGTTCCTGCTCCCTCACGCCCGTCGTCTGTAGTGAAGCCGGGTGCTAGAATATGACATCATATTCCGGCATCACTAAACTGCGCGTGAGGGAGCAGTAAGAAGCAAATAGAAGATCCCCAGGGAGAGGCCCCACATCGGCTCCCAAAGGTAGGGAGCAATAAAGAAAATGTGTCTGTCTGTCAGTGAGTGTGTCTGTCTGTCAGTGAGTGTGTCTGTCTGTCAGTGAGTGTGTCTGTCTGTCAGTGAGTGTGTCTGTCTGTCAGTGAGTGTGACTGTCTGTCAGTGAGTGTGACTGTCTGTCAGTGAGTGTGACTGTCTGTCAGTGAGTGTGACTGTCTGTCAGTGAGTGTGACTGTCTGTCAGTGAGTGTGACTGTCTGTCAGTGAGTGTGACTGTCTCCCAGTGAGTGTGACTGTCTCCCAGTGAGTGTGACTGTCTCCCAGTGAGTGTGTCTGTCTGTCAGTGAGTGTGTCTGTCTGACAGTGAGTGTGTCTGTGTCAAAGAAGAAAAACACAGGCAGCACTCCAGGATATAGAAGGTGAATTTGTTTGTGGGTAAGTGGAACGTTTTGGCTCTTAAGAGCCTTAATCATGCATAAAGGGATACAGCATAACAGCAGTGTTTAAATAACCCCAAAACCAATGAAGTTAATTAAAGCTTACAATCACATGTTAAAACATATGTATGAGTGACATTTAAAAAACAAAACATGGAATCTACTCAAGTATAAGATCAGTAATATATTATACAATCACATAGTAATACACTCATCTCTAGTTGATATTCCATAGCATAAAAGGGTTAAATATTCTGTCTAGTACAGCAAGCTTAAGTGCATACATATACCCATGCAATAGGTTAAATAACATTTATTAATTAGAAAGTACTATATAAACAGTCTGTTCGCCTAAACAGTCCCTCTTAAAGATACACGACCTATTATTTAATAGCATGGTAATGTGCTCATCAATGGTAAATATTCCATAACATGAAAAAATCAGATATCATATCTAATGCAATAAGTTAAATAAGCATGTTTTGAATTCACATAGGCAAAAAACTTTTAGAAATTAGATTAGAAAGTACAATACAAATGAAGTCTATTTAAATGAATGATCCAGAACTTAAAGGTACACTAACTTGATATACAATACCATAATATCCTCTACAGTAAATATTCCATAACTTGGAGAAAGTATGATGCCATGTTAAATATAACAGGACTAATATTTAGAAATATATATCAAGTTAGCAAAGTATCAATTACTAATTTAAGAGTACTCTATGGAAAAGAGATAGAAATGAGAGAATAAAAACTTTCTCTCTTTGTATAAACGAGGATTCAAGGTGACCTCAAAAAGAAAAGGACTTAGTTATTCTAGCATTTAAAGAGTCCAGATGCCTAGCAGTATAAAAAATGAAATATATCTATATAGATGGCAAAAAGATCACAATGTGATTCTGAACATTCCTAAAGTAACACCACCACATGTCGGGTGGGTCCAAGAGGGTACGATATAACTTCAAGAAGCACAGTGAGAACAGATGACCCAAGAACAATCACAAAAGGGAAGTAAAGGAAAACTCCCTATTAAGTCTCCTAGGCCATAAGATATCTAATGTATGAATCCAAAAGGATTCTCTCTTTTTAAGCAAGCCCTGCCGGTTACCACCTCTCCTCAATGGTCAATAACTTGAAAACGTAGTTGAGAAATATTATGATTATGCTCAAAAAAATGAGCAGGTACAGGTTCCCTCTGTTTCATTCTGATAGATTTATACTTAAGTCTCTCACGGGCTTTCATTGTGGTCTCCCCTATATAGAGAAGGCCACATGGGCATTTGAGGGCATAACCAACATACGTAGATTCACATGTAAAAAAAAATGTTTAATGTTGGATGACTTGCCTGTTTGAGGATGGGAAAAAATGTCTAACCTTTAATAATAGTTGCATAAATTACAGTTGTGGCACGGAAAAGTGCCATAAACCGGGGTTCAGAGAAATGTTTTTTCTGTTGCAAGGGTCCAATGTCCGCTTGAATAAGTGTGAAAACAAAATGGTTTCATTTTAAATCCGATGTTAACTTACTTTAACATTTATCTCCTGCTCTGCAAATTGAACTTTAATCACAGACAGGAGGCTCCTGCACTGTCTAGCACACTATTAACAGAGCCAGAGATTAGAAATTCTAAATTAAACATAATTTGCAATAAGGGAAGTGTAAACATTAAATGATTCTTTTCAGGAAGTGTTTTGAAGTTAGTGTAAGTCACATGAAGGGAGATGTACATACGGCTGCATAAACCAAGTGATTTAACTCCTAGAAATGAGCAGGGAGACAGCATAGATATGATCTATACGAAAACTTATTAATTAAGTGAAGGTTGTTTTGGAGACTATACAGGGAGTGCAGAATTATTAGGCAAGTTGTATTTTTGAGGATTAATTTTATTATTGAACAACCATGTTCTCAATGAACCCAAAAAACTCATTAATATCAAAGCTGAATATTTTTGGAAGTAGTTTTTAGTTTGTTTTTAGTTATAGCTATGTTAGGGGGATATCTGTGTGTGCAGGTGACTATTACTGTGCATAATTATTAGGCAACTTAACAAAAAACAAATATATACCCATTTCAATTATTTATTATTACCAGTGAAACCAATATAACATCTCAACATTCACAAATATACATTTCTGACATTCAAAAACAAAACAAAAACAAATCAGTGACCAATATAGCCACCTTTCTTTGCAAGGACACTCAAAAGCCTGGCATCCATGGATTCTGTCAGTGTTTTGATCTGTTCACCATCAACATTGCGTGCAGCAGCAACCACAGCCTCCCAGACACTGTTCAGAGAGGTGTACTGTTTTCCCTCCTTGTAAATCTCACATTTGATGATGGACCACAGGTTCTCAATGGGGTTCAGATCAGGTGAACAAGGAGGCCATGTCATTAGATTTTCTTCTTTTATACCCTTTCTTGCCAGCCACGCTGTGGAGTACTTGGACGCGTGTGATGGAGCATTGTCCTGCATGAAAATCATGTTTTTCTTGAAGGATGCAGACTTCTTCCTGTACCACTGCTTGAAGAAGGTGTCTTCCAGGAACTGGCAGTAGGACTGGGAGTTGAGCTTGACTCCATCCTCAACCCGAAAAGGCCCCACAAGCTCATCTTTGATGATACCAGCCCAAACCAGTACTCCACCTCCACCTTGCTGGCGTCTGAGTCGGACTGGAGCTCTCTGCCCTTTACCAATCCAGCCACGGGCCCATCCATCTGGCCCATCAAGACTCACTGTCATTTCATCAGTCCATAAAACCTTAGAAAAATCAGTCTTGAGATATTTATTGGCCCAGTCTTGACGTTTCAGCTTGTGTGTCTTGTTCAGTGGTGGTCGTCTTTCAGCCTTTCTTACCTTGGCCATGTCTCTGAGTATTGCACACCTTGTGCTTTTGGGCACTCCAGTGATGTTGCAGCTCTGAAATATGGCCAAACTGGTGGCAAGTGGCATCGTGGCAGCTGCACGCTTGACTTTTCTCAGTTCATGGGCAGTTATTTTGCGCCTTGGTTTTTCCACACGCTTCTTGCGACCCTGTTGACTATTTTGAATGAAACGCTTGATTGTTCGATGATCACGCTTCAGAAGCTTTGCAATTTTAAGAGTGCTGCATCCCTCTGCAAGATATCTCACTATTTTTGACTTTTCTGAGCCTGTCAAGTCCTTCTTTTGACCCATTTTGCCAAAGGAAAGGAAGTTGCCTAATAATTATGCACACCTGATATAGGGTGTTGATGTCATTAGACCACACCCCTTCTCATTACAGAGATGCACATCACCTAATATGCTTAATTGGTAGTAGGCTTTCGAGCCTATACAGCTTGGAGTAAGACAACATGCATAAAGAGGATGATGTGGTCAAAATACTCATTTGCCTAATAATTCTGCACTCCCTGTAGTGTCCTTTGAAGCAAAGATAGCCAGGTTGGAGAATATTTCCATATCAGCTATTTTTGCTTCCATTTCTTCCATGCAGAATTAATTTGTGAAAATTCATAGTTTAGAAAATAGCCTTGGCAATGTTCAGGGCTCTAGACAAGGGGCTTAATCTTTATAATTGTAATTATTTTGTATCAGGAAAAGTAGGTTAGGCTGCCATGTTAGTCCCTTGGACAAGAAGATATTATTTTTTAATCCACACCCGTGAAAGAAGTTATCATTTAGTACATTTTTAAATATCTGAATCATTATAGGGAACATATGTATTATTGTAATATACCGCAACAGTAAATTGGGAATACAAGATTGCATACATATGTATGGTTTGTTTTGGTAACAAAATTCTGAATTTTATTTCAGTTGATGGATCAAACAAAAGGGCGAAAGTCGCCTGCAACACTTACAAGGTTCCTCGTAGTTATCGAATGGTTGTCATGAGCCAAATCTATAAACAGACATTGGCTAAAAGCTCAGAAACACTTGTTGATTCACGTGTTAAAATTCATCGTTGCAATGAATCTTACATATATCTACTTTCTCCATTGAGGTAAGGTGTTGTGATTATTTATATTTTTTCGTTACGTACTCTTTGCTACTTGCAGAAAGGTAAATCCAAGAAAGTATGATGTTCAAACACTCTCTAACCTATAAAGTCAGTGTAGACAAGGTGCATCAGCGCTTTGCTTTATATTTGTGTCCCCTGCATAGAAGAGATGAGCACTGAAGTTTGCATGTGGAGTATTTGTTAGTGGAATATTTTAGGATGGACATTTTTTTCTGGTTACCTCTTTCCTGGCTAACCATGACACAATTGGTTATCTCCTCCCATTCACACCTGATAGGAAAAAAGAAGAAAACACTATGAGAAGGCCTCCCTCTCATTGTAATCCTGTGTTTTTGCTCCTATGCTTCACATGAGTGAAGGAGTAGTATTACAAAACACAAAGTACCATCCATTATCAAGACACACAATGAAAGGAAAAGTTTCCCATTTCAAATAACATGATCTTGCAGGACAAATACATTTTAAACAAAACATAAGTCACATACCAGAGTGTACAAAATGATCAGTAGACCTCAATAGCTGATAAAGTACTAGGTAATGAAGGTAGGGGGGAAAACAGTGCAGCTAATAAGAAACATAAAAATAGACTCACGGATATTTTTTGTGGTAAACCAAGCTAACCTCACCATTCTTCAGAGTTGCATTGAGTGAGGGTATGAAGGCCAGTCTGCTATTTGATCCTCACAAGTCAGTTTTTTTGTGACGAGAAGACCCTGCAAGCAGTACATATGCTGCAAATGTGACTTCCAGTACCCCTTTAGTGACTAGGGTCTGATATAAACTCTTTAATTGATGAGCTTACAATTGTATATAGGGTGCATTAAAAAAAGTGATTAGTGAGCCACTTGGATGTTTTGGAACACATACTGATTGAATGACAAGGTCGCCTTCTTCTGTGGCCTGAACTAACTCAAATATAGTATAAGCTATGGTGAATGTAAGCCAGGAAACTAAGGTAGTCCAGTCTGAGCAGAAATTGTAGATTATACTAGCTTTAGTGTAACTATAATCTTAATTTTATTAATGACAGGAGGCGAATATTTGCTTAAGTCTCTCTTTACTAGAACTCCACAGCAGCACATTAACCAATCACAAAAAAGTAAGAAAACCATAAAAGGCCCCTCCCAACCAACTACTTCCTCTTTCAAGCTTTGACAAAATAGAGTACATGAACAATATACAACTCCATAATTATAGAAGAAGAAATCAAACAAAATAAGTCAATGACCGCCATCTGTAACATGGTTCCAGTGGATGAAATCTTGACCTTTATCCTGAAGAAGATCCGGATCTAAGAATCGTAGTCGAACCATTAAACCGAAACGAGATAAACCGAGTCGAAAATTACGATTATTGAATGAAATGTACTGTGAAAACCTGAATACACATCATCAATTACTAACAGTACAACATCCCAGAAAAACACACACTACTCCCCCTAGGAATACAATTACCTGACCTATCTACCACAGCCCAGGAGAACAGGCTCACATTAAAAGTAGGTCAACCTAAACAAAACCAAAGAAAAAGGGGAGGAATAAACTTGGAGGAAAATATTTGCCTCCTGTCATTAATAAAATTAAGATTATAGTTACACTAAAGCTAGTATCTACAATTTTATAGCATGACAGGAGGCTTCATATTTGCTGTTTTAACGCTCTAACAGCAAAGCAAAAGAAGCATGATCCGATGGTCTAAAATAGAATTGGCGAAAGGTATCTTCTCGGGGACCAGTCAGCTGATTGCATGATGTCTTGAAGGGAAGCGCCTGCCATGAAGGCTCCAGAGGCTGCAGCGCCTTTAACCGAATGCGCTCCGAAGGTCAAATTTACCCCGCCAATGCCAATAACCATTTTATCCATCGCGCCAGAGTAGGAGACGAGACCTGTCTGTGAGGTCTGACATAAATCAACAACTGGCCGGAATGAGAAATCTAAGAGGAGCGGTATTCGGCACATAACCAGACAGAGTCTTCGCTACACAGAGTTTAGGCGAGTCGCGGAAATATGGGTAAAAAATAGCCATTGAATCCGACTTAGTACGTCTAGACACCCTGATGGTGGCCCCTTCCAGAGAGAAAGAAAAAGCATAGGCGGCCGCGATAGACTCATACCACGAAGAAGTCTGCAGACTAACGGATCCTGGCCAATGGGCAAACCTCTAAGCGGTACATGGGCCGTCGACAACGCTAATCTCGCCACATTAACCGAACGATATGATCGTCCCAGGTCAAACAGGTGAGACAGAAAATTCAGCACACTGGTTACAGGGCCCGTAAAGGGATCGGTAACCCATTCCAGACACCAAAGACACCAGGAGCCCCATGCTGATAAAAAGCTTCTTCTAGTCCAAGGGGCCCTGGAGTCCCAGATGAGGTCCTTAGCAGACTGCGATAATGCCTTGACATTCCAGGTTCCCCTGAAAGAGTCCAGGCCACCAAGCGCAGGTGGCTGTCCCTCATGAGGGAATCAGGATTGCCTCGGGAGTCCGAGAGGAGCATCAAAGGGGACGGCAGGAGTAGTGGATCCCGATGGGAGAGATCCAGAAGCTTAGGAAACCAGGCTTGAGTCTGCCATAGTGGAGTCAGCAACACCAAAGACACACGCTGACGTCGAACTTGCAGCAATATTTTGGGAATCATAGCAAACTGAGGAAACGCATAAGCTCCCCGTCAAGGCCACGCTTGAAGAAAAGCATCCACCGCTGAGCACGCTGGATCCGGGAGCCAGCTGAAGTAGGTCAGGACCTGATTGTAACGGACCGTTTTGCCCAAAAGAGGTTAAAAACCGTTTAGGCGATATTCCCCTTTTTCAGCTGCACCGACAGCTACTGCAAGCACCAATCTCCTGAACTGCAAACCCACAAATTCACCAACTCTCTGACTGCAACCAAGGGAATACTCGAAACTCCCGAACTGCATACCAAGGGAATACTCGAAACTCCCGAACTGGAGACACACTAATAGCTGCTAGCAGACGAACAGGAAAAGCCCCCAAGCGGCTTACACTCCTGGCAATCAGTCTCTAACCGCATACAGTAAATCCTCCCCCAATAATGAGACGACACTTCACTTTGAGGGTTAAGCAGGAACTGATTTACTGGGGCTAACTGCCCGGCTTTTATGCAGGTCACTCCCCTAGGGGACCAAATGGGAGACTGGGACACAAAGGGTAAAAGGACCAATCACAGACTTACACATTTCAACCATCCCACAATGCATCAGAATCCATCCTCTCTGCCCTGGAGATAATTGGGAAGTAATTTAATTATCTCCAAAGACAGAGGCAAAACTCCATTAACCACATGGCAGAAAACAAACAGTAAAAGACATAAAATTACCTACAGTTACATTCAGTACATAAAACATATACATTCTACATATCCCCAGATAGCTCAGGTCTGAGCGCACATTATTAAGCGAATGGCGCTCAGACCACACGAATACAGTTTAATCGCCATGGAGCCAAAGTCTTTACACAGTCCGTTTCATGCGAATGGGCTCCATGGGATTCCTATCTGGGGCACAACACACTCAAACAAAACTACCGAACACCGGGCCGTTCGTGCACTTTCACCGAACAAGAAGGGAGGTCGGCGGCTTCAGCGGTGTAAGCGCAAAACTGTGTCCGATTTCAGTTCCATGAATTGAGCGTCGAACACCGCTGTGCATTCGCATGTTTAAAATGGCTGCGACCTCGTGTTCGTGATACGAATGGCGGCCACCCAGCGTTCGTCAATTAAGCTGCGGTTAACCGCAGCTTCAGGGAGGTTAATTGCCGGCACATTCCAGCTCCCAGGTGGTCTGTTCATTCGTGCGGTTTTTCGGTAGATTGAATCTACCGAACAACCGGCAGAAAAGCATGAATAAGTATTTTCTGCAGGGAAAAAAGTTGTCTTTTAACATGGGGCCATAGTCCAAAGGCAGCAGGCGAGCAACCAGGCTTCTCCAGTGTACAGTGGCGAGGTTGGTTTCGCCACACTGATAGTTCCACCAAAGAGGTCCACCGTGAACGAGCCCCTTTGGTCCGCGAGCTCGAGGAAGATGGAGCGAAGGAGTTTCCAATTGCTGGCTACCCTCCAATGTCTCGAACCAATCCGCCGTCAGGTTCGACTCCCCCGGTAGATATTCCGCCTGGAGGGTGATGTTGCATTGGAAGCAGAAGCTGTAGATCTCCTTCGTCACCTCCGAGAGTCCCCGAGAACATGCGCCTCCCAAGCAGTTGATGTATTGCACCGCCAAAACATTGTCCATCCGGAGGAAGATGCAGCAGTCTGAAAGGTGGCTTGCCAGACTCCGAATCGCAAACGATCCTGCAAACTCCGATTCCCTCTCTTACCACGGTCCCCCCATGGAGCTGGTCGCGCAGATGGCACCTCAACCACATAGACTTGCATCTGGCTCTAGCACGAAATCTGGAGTTGGGCCGAAGATCGCCTTGCCCGGAAACGTAGGAAGGTCTCCTGTGTAGAAAACGGGCCTTGAGCCGTTGCATGGCCCTGTTATGAAGCGGGCCCGGGTAGATCGCCTGGATCGAGGCCGAGAGGAGACCCACTACCCAAGCCAACATACGCCGTGGGATCCGGTCTTGACGTAGGATCCTCCTTATTTCTTTTTGAATGGTCGCTATTTTGTATAGAGGCAGACGAAGAACCCATTATTTCGCATCCACTTCGAAATCCAAGAACTCTTACTTAGGAAGGAGAGAGAGCTGACTTCTCCAAGTTGACCACAAACCCCAGGTGTTCGAATAAGGAGACTGCAGAGCGTGTCTGACACCTCAGTCTTCAGGGCTCCTCGCAGAAGATCAGCAAATCGTCCAGGTAGACGATACAACGGACGCCCTCTGACCGGAGTCGAGCAAACAACGGCTTCAAGAGCTTGGTGAAACACCACGGAGCCAAGCTGAGGCCGAAGGGAAGACAGGTGAATTGGCAAGGTCTGCCCTTCCAGAGAAAGCGGAGGAATCTGCGGCACTCTGCGTCCACCAGGACAGAGAGGTAGGCGTCCTTCAGGTCCAATCTTGTGAACCAATCTCACGGCCTGAGGAGGTCCCGTAGGAGATGGATGCCCTCCATCTTGAAGTGGTGGTAGACAATGAAAGCGTTCAGGTTCCGCAGATTGATCACTGGTCGGAATTCGCGGGACTTTTTCCTTACCAGAAAAATCGAGCTGAAAAAATCTTGTGTGGCCGGAGTCCACTGGACCGCGTCCTTGTCGAACATGGCCCGAATCTCCGCATCTATCAGGGACTGTTGCTCCCTTGAGGAAATGGGAACTCGCGGAGGGGAATGAAAATCTATGACATCCCTGAACAGTCCAAAGAACCCATGCATCTGAGGACACCTCCCACTACCTGTCCCTGCAGTGAAACAGTCTGCCCGCATGCAACAGGGGAGAGGGAGAAATGGCAGGAGTTGTTCTCACCTGAATCTTGCTCGACCTTTGTCCGATCTCTGAGAGTAGACGGGCCGGGACTGGTAGGAGGTGAAGAACGATGGTCCACGGGATCTTTGGCAGCTAGAAGACCAGAAACGGCTGGAGACACTGTCGTCAAGCCCTGCCAAAAACCTGTGAAGTCTACGGGTGAAATACCCACTTTATGGAGGTCTGGGCGTTGTCCAGGGAAGTGGACAGGTTCACATGCTTATGCAGTTCCTTTATGAACGGCTCCCCAAACAGAAGGCCCTTAGCCAGGGGGGCCAATTCCTTTGACCCCAACTCCGACAATTTGTTGTCAATCCGTAAAAGGACCGCCTTCCTGCATTCCGTGGAGAGTGCCACGTTAGTATTGCCCAGCAGGCAAATAGAGCGCAAAGCCCAGTCCCGCATGGTGGCCAGGTCCAGGGCAGCTCCCTCCGAGTAGGCCTCGTCCGCCAGCATTAGCATCCTGCATAGGGGGCCCAGCATGTCCAGCAGTTTGTCCTGCGCCAGGCGGAGGCTGCGTTCAACCCCTTTCTTGGGATCACAACCTGTACTGGTCATGTATGTGGTGACCAGGGAATCAAATTCTGGCATGGTGGCTACCTTATCAGGCAGCACGGGCCTGGGGCATTCTGCCTGAAGTTTCCTGTGAACTTCCCATTCCAGAGGCCTGCGGATCCAGTAATGCACGAATTGTGCTAAGTCGTCAGGTAGAGACCTTTCAGAGCACCTGTCTGGGGTGCCGAATGGCCCGAGGGCTGAACAGGAGTTCGCCCATGGCGTCCAGGAAGGTGTCGTACTCCACCACGGTAGTCAATGCCCCTGGCTCAGCCTCACGGTGCCATTTGGGGTCATCTTCACGGTCCTTGTCCCAAGCGTCGTCGTCCTCCGAGGGGGACTGGTCCGCCCGCCATTCATCCAGAATGGCCATAGGTGGTTGGGTGGGAGGGGTAAGGAGACCTCCTCCCCTGCGCCCGATAATTGACGGCGCCTGGCCGGTGAGCTTTTCCCTTCCGGGAGTGTGGTTCGGGGCCTTCACCCTTCCAGTAGCGCGTCTGCGCACTTGCCTGCTCTCGTCTAGGAGAGTCTGACTCAGCCGAGTCGTCTACCGTTTGGAGGGGCCCTCTAGCACCCAACTCCAGTTGTGTCTGAGGAAGGGCCCTAGCCTGGGCCTTTTCCACGGAGGCGGCTACTGCCGCATTTATCATGGCCTGCAGATTCTGTTCCTGGGTAGATGTTGCCATGGTCAAGGACACATGGACAATGTGACACCTAGGGGCATAGAGGACAGGTGTGACCAGCAGGTAATCGGGGCAGCACCCCTAATAGTGGCAGAGGCAAGTTAGCTAGCGCATGCAGGGTCCAAATGCCAAGGGGGCCCAGAGTACAGAGCCGCCAGGCCAGACGTACACAGAGAATGGCACAGACAAAACAGGCCAATCAAAGGGGCACAGTCAAAGCAGGCCAGTTATATGGGCACAGACAGAGCAGGCCAAATAATGTGGTACAGCCAAGGCATGTCAGTCAGCACTTGCAGGCAACATGCTGAGTCTAGATGTATAGACATGCAGAAATGAGTGAGTAGGGTCCACAGAAATTGCATTATGCAAACATATGGGAATAATACATGTAGAGTGATCTAGGTATAAACAGAACCCTTATGTGATCTTTATTTCAAACAGAAAACCTGTACCAAATAACAAGCACATATACCTTTAAATCATAACGTAAACACTATCTGCAGTAAAACAGGCACAACCCCCAGCACGACCACGAGGCTGCGGGAAGGTGAGTGTCTGGGGGCCGGGAGCAGCCGCTCCCACGTGGCCAGCTATCCCTCTCACCACCACCCACGCCGCTCAAATCCGCAGTAAATCAGACACCGCCAGCGGAAGCGTGGGCAGGGTGAGAGAAGCAGGAGATGGCTCCCGCTCAGCGGACGGGGGCCAAGACTTGGGACCGTCTGAGTTGTACTCCGCGGTCTGTAACGGGAGGCGGTCGGAGGACCGCTCCCCAGCAACCGCTGGCAACACGAGCGAGCGAGGGGGGGAGGAGCAAGGGTAGGGTGGGCGGAGAAGGCAGGACAAGAGGGTAGAAAGAGAGGGGGTAGGCAGACAGAAGCCATCCCAGTCACCCAAGCCTGCAGAAAAGCCCATAGAGAAAGCCCCAAGCAGGGGGAAAGCATGCAAAACACCCCCACAACGATAATAAATACTGGAAAAACGGTGAAATGCAATAAAATATCCAAAGCCACCCAATGTGAACAGGAGGCGGTTGTACGCTGACCTGTGCTTGATGTGGAGCAGCAAAGAAAGAGGAAGTTGTTGGTTGGGAGAGGCCTTTTATGCTTTCCTTTTTTGATTGGTTTTTCTCTCTATGTTAATGTGCTGCTGTGGAGTTCTAGTAAAGAGAGACTTAAGCAAGTATTAAGTCTCCTGTCATGGTATAAAATTAACATCTATTCAGAGTTATTTGGTTAAATTAGAGCTGAGCAGTCAAGTGCCCTATGACATTCAATATACTGTATTTTTGGAATATGGGACACCGTTTTTTAACCCAAAATCAGTGGGGAAATCCAAGACCTCCCTTATGGCCCTATGCGGCCTTCTTTTGCTAGCGGGGAGCTTCTTGTCAACGCCTCCTCTGGGGCCAGACAGAGTATTTCTCCTGTTGGCACAGGCCATTCAGAGCGTTGCCATGGGTTACTACGGCAACACTCCAATACTAACTCTTTCACCACTGGATCACCAGGTATCGTCATGTCCCCCCTTACTGGCCCAAAGTAGAATAAGGTCAGAATAAACTTCTAACTGAAATTAAAATAAATCTAAATGAAAACAGAAAAATCACCCATCCCACTCAACAAGTTGTCACACACTTCATCCCCCTCAACACACTATATTGCCTAGATACACACCCAAGTACACTACTTACCCAACACATCACATCCCCTTCATACACTACATCCTGTATACACACTCACAATAATACTACATACCTTATACACATAAACTGAAGTTTACTGTAATAATGGTACTTGTTGTTTTCCTTTTTTTTTATTTTTTATTTCTAGTTAAAATTTATGAGTACTCTTTGTGTTTTTGTAAAATTTATGAGTCTCTTATATTTTGGTGCATCTTAAAGGTAAAGTTATGCATTTGTAGATAAGAAACAAGTAACTTAATGGTGTAACGGATCACCTGGCACCCCGACTGGGTACCTCCGTTGAAGGATGCTCCTAGCGCTTCCTGAGGACTCCAAGCACTGCAGCAGACACCACAACCACCGAACCGGAGAAGCATACGAATGCTCTCAAGCATATGAATGCTGTAAGCAGCTGAACAGGAAAAGCATACAATCAGCATACAATCCAATTCCCCCAATAACGAGACGACACTTCGTTTTGAGGTCAAGCAGAACTGACTGTACTGGCACATACAGCCTCTTTTATTCACAATCCACAAACATATTACTGCCCACAGGGTTTTGAAATACAACCAATCAATCCGTACAATACACACAGACACTCCCACACAAAATCCTCCCCTCTGCCTGTGATATGATTACTGAACACAATGGTTAATCTAATTATCACAGGCAGAGAAATACGGTATCATAAAACACATCACAGGCACCCTAAAACATGCAATAACCCCATAAAGTTATTGTTTATGTAAGTATATCGTTGGAACCGGGGGATCTGGGTGAACCACATATCTAAAATTCACCCAGATCCGTTCAGTACTTTGGAAGATACAGTTTAATGCAGATTCCACAGAACATATGCAGGCTATATGAAAAACAATTACTTTATAATGTGTCCCCTGTTGTATAGTCCAAAACCACTGCACGATGTCTCTGTGCACCAAATACCGGCAAGATGGCACCGTGTAGAAAAGTCTACACAGTGTCTGGGAGTTAAAATGGCCGCCATCCATTGTTCTCACCATGTGCCTCTGATACATGAAATGGTGGCCACCCAGTATCTCCAAAGTATGTCCCCAGATGGTTCTTATAGGGCCAGCAGCAGCACAACACAAATTCATTATGCCCAAATCATTTCTTTAAAGGGCAATACATCCCAGGGGCCATAGTCACATGGCAGGAGGCGGGCAATCAGTCTTCTCCAATGTCCAGTGGCGAGGTCGGTTTCGCCACAAATGGATGCAACTATTTGTCTGAATTGGGCATTGTTAAACAACAGATTAGATGTCTGCGGCTTTGTAAAAGTCGGTAAGGTATTGCCATGCATAAAACGGGGTGTTTGTGTGGGGGCATACCTAAGGAATGCACCTCCTTTCCATTCTGCAGTGTTTAACAATGTATAATTTGTTTTTTTAATCAATAAAAATGATAGTAAACATTGTCTTAGTTTGGCGAGAATGCCGCCAGGAATTTTGCAGGGATGTAAAATATTGTCAAACACAAATTTAAATAATATATACCCATATTTGAACACAATTACCATATAATGCATTTAAAGGACCACTATAGTGCCAGGAAAACATACTTGTTTTCCTGGCACTATAGGGTCTCTAGGCCCCCACCCTTAGGGTCCCCCTCTCACCGGGCTCTAGGGTGAGGAAGGGGTTAAACACATACCTTTTCTCCACCACTGGGCACCCTCGGTGCTGGGGACTCTCTGCCTCTTTTCCCCGTCATCGGCTGAATGCGCATGCATTCTTAATGCTTTCCTATGGACGCTGGCGTCTTCTCACTGTGAAAATCAGTGAGAAGCGCCTCTAGCGGCTGTCAATGAGACAGCCGCTAGAGGCTGGATTAACTGATAGGTAAACATAGCAGTTTCTCTGAAACTGCTATGTTTACAGCAGAAAGGGTTCATCCTAGATGGACCTGGCACCCAGACCACTTCATTGAGCTGGGTGCCTAGAGTGGTCTGGGTGCCTAGAGTGGTCCTTTAATATGAATTGGGCAAATCCAGCCTGTAGTAGCTTTAATTGTAACTTGCACGTTATTTTTTTTTTTTTTGAATTCTAACTGTACCCTTCCAGAAACCTTTAACAAGAAAAAGTTTAAACATAATTTCTCTAAAGATATATATGTTTATTTTTTAATCTTCAAATTTCACTTAAATTTTTTTCTTTTTATGTAGGTCAGTGACTGTTGAGAAATGTCACAACAGTACAATAATCTTGGGTCCAGTACAGTCTTCCCTTCATGTCCAAATGTGCGACAACGTGAAGATTATAAGTGTTTGTCAGCGCTTGTCTCTTTTGTCTACCACAAATTGCACTTTTCATGTTCTGACTCCAACTAGACCTCTTCTCTTCTCTGGAAATCAGGGTGTTGTATTTGCTCCCTATCACACACACTACCCAATGCTTGAAGATCATATGGGACAGACAGGATTAGCAACATTACCGAATTACTGGGACAGGCCTCTTTCCCTGGCTGTAGACAACAGTGACCAAAAAGTATGGAAACTTATTTCTCCAAGAGAATTCACTACATTTGTTGTGCCTTTTGAAATGGAAGGAGATACAACTGAAATCCCTGGGGGTCTGCCTCCAGCTTTTCTAAAAAGTACTGTGCAAAGAGAACAAAAGGTGCAAATGTGGCAAAAAACTGTAAAGGAAGCAGGATTAACTAAGTGAGTGAAAATAAGAACAGAATTTGAAAAATTCATTGTGTGCAATGAGCACTTTATTAGGGGCAGCTGCTGTTGATTCTGCATATGTATGTAACTACAATGTGAGCTGTATGAAAAGACAGAGATAATACTGCAGCAAATGTTTCCAGGAAGATGTACATTGTGTTGTTCCTTTGGTATAGATATATATCTGTAAACATATTGAGCTTCCTCCAAGCTGAGACTATTTAAATGTAGAGATATTGATAGAGCAAGGAGACTCTTGGTCCTGGAGATGTTTAACTAAAAACTTAAATGCTGCTGTTGCCCCACTTAGGACACATTTAAATGTTGGCCTTTTGTTCTTCCTCCTGGTATATGAAATAATAATACATCATAAAATATATGTAGTTGGGCATTGCTTAATGAATGGTACATTTCTAAATTGCAGGGAGCAGAGAAAACAGTTCCAGGCTCTTGTTGAGCTCAAGTTTAATGAATGGCTAAAAAGCACAGGAAACCGGCATCAGCTGGACAGCCTTGTACAACCATCTGATGTTTCCAAACAAGTCGCTGGATAAAAATGATCTAAGTGCATTTTGAACAGGTAATAATTTAAACAAGTCACATTGAAACAAAATAATGATAAACAGAAATCTTACTGTAAATTATGTTTTCTTCATATTAGTAGCAATACACTTTTTCAGGAGGTTCTCTAGGAGAACAGCATATTTAATTCAGCTTTGTTTCTTTTAATGTACTCCTATATTTTGAATGATATTCATATTTTTACTTTTCTATTTTTATTTTTAATAAATGTCATGCAAGACTTGAAATACAAACATTTCTAACTTGTATTTCACAAAATGAAAGCTGTATTTACTATACTGAATGCAACTAATTGACTCCTGACAATAAAAAGATTGAAACTTAATAATCTTTCAATCTCCTCTTGTGGAAAATATTGATCTGGTTTGTAAAAGCCCAGAACACCCTGGCACACTGTATACAGCAAATTGAGACACATCTAGAAACCTGTGAAACAAAGCTTACCGATTTGTGGTCATGGAGAAACTACTTGCAAGCACTGCAGCAACTGGATTTGCAGGCCTATCTTTGCACCCAACCTCCCCATGAATATGCTATTACTTGAACGTGCACATGCGTTCCCTAAGCCAAAGTAATTACCCATAGCAGCACTGAAATATGTCCTACGGAGGATGCACTACCTCCATGTCATAGAAGGGCTTGTAGACTGAGAAATTAGGTACCTCTTGGAATATAAGGAGTTAATTGTGACTACACTATGCAAGCGGAAAAGTTTAAGGAGGTTCACTGAAACCTTGCGGAACCACCATATCTCGTAAGCTCCTCACTCACTGAAATGGAACAACCGCTGTGGTGGTGACACTGTAGAAATGCAACCGTTTGCTTAGTACAGTTCGATGTCCACCTTTAGTATACAGCCAAATTTGTGATGTTCCCAGAATGCTGATCATGTCACCTTTGTACACCAGAGAGTACCTTGTGGAAAATTACTCCTCTTTTACTCACCCCTCAAGATGGGAACTATCCATTACAGGTTACCAAATTATGATTTATGGGAAATCTTGACCTCCCTTACCTATTTCATTAGGTGAACATTTCAGAGTGCTAATGAGAGCACATCTATACAAAGGAAAGAAAACCAAAAAGAAACCATAATCCGTTCTTAGTCATTGCATTGTAAAATGAGAAAATAAATGTGTTAATTTTCGTGGTCTTTTTCAACAACAGAAGATCTTAGTTTTGTTTATTTACAATGTTTTTATTTCATTGCAATTCATGGATCAGAGCATTTGAGGTTAGCTTTATTTGACTACATTTGAGTGCGTTTTTACTAAATATGATCTGAAAATGTAATCTCAGAATTCTACCCCATATGTTATACTCCATTTAAAAGCTACTCCCTCAAAGAATTGAAATGCTCTTCAGCAGCTTTAACGTCTACAAGAGACATTTCTAAATGAATGCACATCCGTCCTTACACCCCAATGAATACCTGCTTTCAGTTTCATGCCACCTAATCAAATACGTCTAGTGAGTTTCTGTCCCTTTGGCAGACACATTGCCTTTTTACTGCATAGACATATTTTATACCAGATACCCTTTCTCATCTGTTCCATCAACAATGAGTTAAACCACAGCAAACATGCTATTTTTATGCTCCTAATACTGAACAAAGGAGCGTTCTCCTTATCTTGCAGTTATCCCATATTCAAAAAGAAACCATAGAGTACCAGATCATAATTTGGTAACCTGTAATGGATAGTTCCCATCTTGAGGGGTGAGTAAAAGAAGAGTAATTTTCCACAAGGTACTCTCTGGTGGCTATAACTATGTATTTGATCCAAGCCTAGAATCCTCACTCGAACCCTCCACACAGAGCTCTAAAAGCTTCAAAATCACTATAAAGTACTACTTTGATTGCTAGAGAGACATACATCACCTTGAGTTAACTATCTCCTTTTAAAAGCTTTAGCTGTTGCCTTACGCTGCAGACTGAAAGAAACAGGTCAATATGGCTTTTTTTTTTTTTTAGGTCATTTATAAGTTCCATATTTAACAGAAGTATTTAATAATGCTTGGAACAAAGGTCTTGGAATATGCAAACTGCATACTCATTGTCAAATACCCTGTTGGCCTATCTTTGAAAATCAACTAGGATCTGATAAATTGTTACTCTAAACTGGTTTCATAAATATATTGCCTATTACCAAGTGAGGCCTAGGACATATTGAACTCATTCCTAAAGATATAAAAAGTTAATATCAGTGCCATATCAGAGTAAAATGTGAGATTAATAGTGGTCAGTGGGGAGGGATGGAAGGGGAGAACTGGGGTTACTTTAGTATTCTAGATGCAATGTGAGGTTTTCTTCTTATCTGATACCATTTTTCCCTGAGCGAGTATATAATGGTTCAACATTTGCAACTGACAAGATCTACCCTTACTTTTCCTGTCCCTATTTTTATACCCAAATCTTTTTTGTTTAACACTTGGGATATCTTTTCTTAATGTTACTTGTACATATTGGATACATATTTTCACTTGTCAAATTGAAAATAAATTGATAAAAACAAACAACTGATATGCATAGGTTGAAGTTTATATTTGTGATTTAATTTAAATTTCCCCCCCCGTGTTTCAGTAATTCCAGTGATAGTTACCTGGCAGATTACAGAAACCTACTTAGCAGATACCGATTGCATATGGGCTTTTACCATGCTTGAAGATGAGAGAAACGGCAGACTGAACAAAGAAGCAGAAGTTAACTAAAGTACCAGCGAAGAAACAAGCATGCTGGTTTTAAGTGCACATGTATATGTGTTACCCCTGGGAACCCCAGTGCCAGAAGCAACTAGTCCTATTAAAGGATGATGACTCTTCTAAAACCATTTAAATGCAGTCCAGTATTTCTTCATAGGAATTCGTAACACATGAGACTTAACACTGCTTTTGAATTCAAAATATACTTAATAGTATAAATTAGAAAAATAACACATGCTTAAGTCCAAAGCCAAGCTGTGTGGTAATATAGTAGAATGGAATGCAGCCTTACTGGCAACTTAAGCATTTTTAAAATGCATTTGTTTTGATTTGCGGCAAGTTTAAAAACTTGCGATTTTGACAGATCGACACATTGCTGTGAATAATTTATTTAAGAGGTGAATAAAATCAATCTTTTCTTACCAAAGGTTTTTTTTTGGTTCTTTTAAGTTTCAGTTCTACAGGTTATTCGTACACATTTTACCATGAAAATACACACACACACACACTAAATAGCACAGTGGTAATGTCACTGGGAAAGACACCCAACTATGTATACCCTGCCCACCTCAATAATATGAGAGAGATTCATGCCAGCTTGGACGTCGCCCTGAATAACAAGGTCCGTGTCAGATGCCAGGGCTAATCTGATGACAAGTAGGCTACTGGAACAAATCATTCCTGGCGGCGGAGCAAGAACCTAAACCTACCTGAATGCTACTACAACAGCAGACCCCACGAGAGAGAGGCTACATGTATGTGTGACCATCTTAACACCAAAACAGCTGGTTACGCAACTAGAGGAAGAAATTCCCATGCCCACATTCATATCTGCACCAGAGAATTGCCAACCTGAATCCATACCACAACATGACATAACAGATATAAGGGAAATTAGCAGTCGATCAGCGGATAAGACTACTTGACTACAATACCCATCATGTAAGCTGGATCAACTTAACAGAGGTGGCTGTCGCAGTGGCAACCAGACTGAGCAGATACACCAGAGAAGAAGAGAATCAATGCCCGCTTTACTAAAGAACCATCCAAGGTATGCACAGCTACAGGGTAACCACCACATCTCCTTGCAAGACCTGATACTGGGCTATTAAACCTGAAAGCATAACAGTAGAAAGCTATTCAACAGAGCAGCACACATGAAGAGTTGACATGATCCACAACTACTATAAGTAGTGTCTAGCAGCACAAATGAACCAGCTACTAACAGGCTCCCATCCTGAATGGCTAACAAAAGGCAGAACAATACGTCATAAGGGAACAACACCATGCCGACTCAGAAGGGAATTAGAAACACCAGAGGTCTAAAACACCAACTACTGGTGGACCAAGCAGTCACAAGGGATTCTAAGACCAATCTGTGCACGGCCTGAATTGACTACAGGAAAGCATGGTCAGCAAGACAATGAGCCTTCATCAAGAAGTCGATGGGCAAGTAGAAAACAACTCTAGAAGCCAATTTCTGGACAATAACTCAAGTGAACATCAAATGTGACATACCAAGGTGATGCGCTATCCCCAATGCTGTTCTGCATAGGCCTCAACACTCTTAGCCAGATCAAGAAGAGGGGATACGGATACAGGTTCAAGAGTAGAGCTACCATCAGCCACCTACTCTACATGGACGAGCATCAAGCTGCATGCCAAGAATGAGAGAGACATTGACTCCTGATCCACCTAACTGGGATATACAGAAAGGACATCGGAATGTCGTTCGGACTAGAGAAGTGTGGGCAGATGATGGCAAAAAGAGGGATGATGATTACAAGGACCTCCATGGGGTGTACCACTGGCAGGTAGTGGATGTGGCTCATATGACAAAACTGTGTATGCTGTTAGCAGGAGCAGCGTACACAGGGAGACACAACCAAGTTGCTGTACCGAAACATCTGCACCAAATATGGATTGGACCTGCCTAAGTCCAGATGGGAGATACTTGAAAAGGAGAAAGAACACTACCTAAAAAATATAGTCTAAAATTTAACTTTTAATAGTGAACAAAATACAGAGTGATCATTTCGCACATTTAATCTTAGTAAGTCTAGATATATGCATACCAAGACAGAGAGAGATAATATGAAAAAATATAAGATTTAAAAAACCAACAGACAGTATCTAGATATCAAAGGTGTAGTTAACAATGTCTAAATAGACTTAGGTATCCGGCTCTGAATAGAAACTGTCTGCTATTGTGGTTATCTACTGTTGCAATTTGTTAAAAGTACTCTGTTATAGTTAATCAAGCTTTGCAAATAGAAAACGTCTGCTGCCGTAGTTTGTGAAGAATACTCTGTTACAAATTGATCATAAACGAAATTTAACACTCAAGTGGTATGACAGCACAAGAATACTGTCTAATTTGACTATTAGATATAGGCTGCAGTTAGGCGTTCACAAGTGTGATGTGAAGAAAAATAAATGTGCGAGATAGCACCTTCTGGGAGTAATCCGTTATATAAAACCCCAAAGTAGATATAGTCAGACGGTAAAAGTATCTGCCTTCGAGGGCACCTGTCAGACAGAAGAGCTAGCTGCAAGTAATAAGGAAAGGAAGAGGAGAAAAGAATTATATCTATATCCTCAATAAATAACTGTGCCTTCAAGGGCACCTCTCTAGTAGATATAACAAATAATAAAGCTAACTAGCTAACATCTAAATATCAAAAGCCTTAATCAATATCCTGTAATATGTTGTTTAGTGTCAATACACTACGAGCGTTATAGCCTCAAATAATATGAGCGGCTAAATCCTTGATTTCCCTCCCGACATGCCCAATGTCTAAATAACTCTTAACCGAGATATAGATTTTTAGAAGAATAATCCCTGCAAGTGCAGAGGGTTTAGTGTTAGGAGCGATCGAAAAAACCCTGACGCGCGTTTCGCCGGTAAGGCGGCTTTTCAAGGGGAACTTGGTCATAGCCGGTCTTAATAATAGCAACAACAGAATTGTATGTTATTTGTGATCTAAGAACATGGTCATATAAATCAAACAAATTTATGCTTAACTGTGTAACATGCTTGTAATACACACAACCCTTAAATGTAACCTTCCATCCAATTACAATGCAGTGCGCTGCATTCCTCATGTGAAAACCCTGCACACAAAATAATATCCAATCCTCAATTCAATCAAATACAGTTTGAGTCATATTTACGGCCTTATTTATGTGTTCAGTTAAACTGAAGCCTCCCCCATAAACAAAAATTTAGCACTGAGATAGATTATATATTTGGCTGAAAATCTACTTAGCATTGCTCCAGTGCTGTCGTCAACCCAGCTGCAGTCCCAGCCTCTCCTATCTATACATGAGCACACTGACTTTATTGCCAGTGTTTGAGTCAGAATGGAAATATTAGCATAACTACCTGTAGGATTATTTTCTTGCTCTCAGTCAGTCAATTTTTAGCACAGATGTTTATGCTTACTATGCTGAAGAATTGATAGTTGGATAAGGGACTTATTTTCGAATGAGTAATTCCTTACCATCTGCAATATTTGCTTGCAAGTCTGATGTATATACAGATTTATTTTTAAGTCTGTGTGCACCATGATAAGTACATTTACAAGTTAATTTTTCAATGTTTTGATTTTAATATTTCAAAATGCCCATTCATAAAAATTTATTTAAAAGTACAGTTTTTAATGTAACCAAATGTGTAGTTACAGTACTTAAAAAAAATGCATTTCCAAATGTTCCTGTTATCTAACCATTCTCTTTCTTTTAATGCAGCAAATAACACAACCACTCAGTATTCTACAAAGGTGCTTTAATCGAGAACATTAACTGCACAAATAAAAAAAATCAAATGCATGCACTGTTTATTGTATTACAAGGCATATTAGACTTTGATTCTTATTTAGAAGCTAAAGTAAAAATACATTTACTGTTCAAGTGAAGAAAAATTTACCTGTATCTTTACTTATAAACACCATTTTACTATGACCAAAGCCACCTCTACCAACAAGGTCAGGTTGTGGATGTGAGCATTATCTTTTGCTTCAATCTGGGATGAATGTCAGTGATGAAGCAGCTTTGGAAAATAATTCATTTTTAGTGCAGTTATCCCATGCTGTGATATGACATTTGCACAAGTGACGCCAGCCTGGATTAAATAGCCCGTATTTGAAAAATTATATACCATTATATTCTCATTCTATGTGCATTGCGTTTCTAGCATTCACTTCTGTTAAAGAAGAAAGGCTTAAAATACAGCCCGATTGATAAAGTATTATCTGCTTGCTGCCCACAATTGTCCATTTTTAGCTTTTGGGCAGGTTTACAACATAACTCTTAGCGATTACAAATTAACAGGGTATGATGATTTATTTTGGGTCTTTATAAAATCGACATTCATCATACATGGAAGTTCTTTCTGGTTTAAAAAAAAAAAAAAAAAAAAAAGTGTAAAAAGACATAGCAAAGTTGTGGTAACTTGTCTTTGTCCCTGGGATAATCTGCAGCTTTATATTCGGTTGTAGAATATTTTAATGAAACGTTACACAAAGTATGCAGCCAGGGCAGCCATTTTGTCCTTGGGCTTTTTGGGGTTAACTCTCTTACCTCTGCCCCTACTTCTTCCTTGCCTTCTGCCCTGCCCACCCCTATGCATAGGATGTCTCATTGTAGCATGTTTGATTTCCACTAGGTCCTGGAAGATAGGGTCACAGAACACACAGCCAGTATGTTGCGTCTGATCTGCAGGCAGTGGTGTTTTAGCTTTGTTAAAGTCTACAAGTACAAGTGCAGCATCACAAACCTCACAAGTCTCAGCAGCCACACGCACTCTATGAGCATTTTCAAAAAAATGTACTATAACATTACACTTATTGCAAGACATCTTCCACTTGGGACCAGAGGTGGAATCCAGAACCATCACGCCATTTTCACACTCCACGCACTGCGCAATTCCAAGCATGCTTAACGAGTGCTGGCAGGTTGGATGTGTGCACTCATTGCAGCCCATGCCTGCAGAGAACCGAAAATGACAAAAGACTGATCAAATACCCAGATGGAACAAATACAGCATGAGAAATCAGGGAGCAAGAAATATGTACAGGTAAGATATATGAACATGAGTGGCATATGAGAGTGCAACATAAGAAAACTCAAGTCAGAAAAAATGTAATTGTAACAGATAAGAACACCACAATGAATTATTTACACCTAAAGGAAATCCAGAAATGTTAAAATGATAGCTCTGTTGTAAAGTGGATCTAAAGACAAACCTTTCTTCATGTCCCGGAATGGGGCATGGTTGTAGCAGTATGGGCATAGTGGATAACTTTTCCCTCTTGATCCTGAAGACCATAGTACTAATTCAAAGTCATCCAGTGGACAGCGCAACTCTTTATAAAGTTTAATAGTCCCATTTTGAGGCAGGCTGTATGTGTCATCACAGTGAGAGCAGTGCAGGCGGCTGGGCTTGGCCTGGGGGCAGTGAAAACAAAGCTAATGCAATATAATGACAACACATGCCTATGGATACAAGCAAATATGAATAATATTTATCCAAGAGAAGTACACTTTAATTTCCCTAGTTTCCAAAAACATTGTGTTAGTAGCTTGCTTTCACTAGTGTGTTAAGTCTTCCTCCCAGGCTATGAACCTGAGATGGTTACCTGAATGTACTTCATAAACCGATGACACTTGCCACATCGAGATAATGGTTTGCCAGTTGCTGCCAGAGGTGAGAATGATACTTCCATTAGTTCATCCATTCCTAAAGAAAGCGAAAGGTCAGTAGTCACTTTACATAGGGCCCAAAAAAAAATAAATAAAATAAATAAAAAAAAAAAAATATATATATATATACACACACACATACATATACACACACATACATACATACACACACATTTTTTTTAAATTATCAACATACAAAATAACAAAAACTTATCGCTTGTTATCTGTTTCTAAACAAAATTTTGCATGCATAATATCACATGGTCATTTATGGTTATGCATCAAATCATCATGTAGTTAGTTACTAGAGCCAAGTAAAAACAATGCTGTAGAGGTTTACTCACTCAATCTCACAAGTGAACAAACCCTCCTCCCCCTGCTACCCCCACCCCCAAAACAAAAACCAAAAAAAAAAAAAAAAACAACCCCACACAGATTAATAATTTGACCTGAAATATCTTAAATTATATGTGAAAGAGAAAATAAAATAAAAATTACACAATACAAAATACAGTGGCCATAAATAGATCTCAGTTAACACAATTAAATAGGTCTCCACGAGGGAGATCAGGGAGGAAGGCAGAATTTAGATGACAGTCAGACAAAAATCCTGTTTACAAAAAAGGACCAGAAAAACAATAACATACATTAAAAAAGCCAGGGAATAGAAGTACCCTTTAGATATTTTCTATGTCTCAACCACGAGTTCAGCTCATCCTGGGGTACCTTTGAAATACCAATTTCCATTTTTTAAATTGGAATTTTAGCTGTTCTTTAACTGGCGGCCAAGATGGAACCATAGGTGAATTCCAATATCTAGCCAACAACAGTTTGGCAACCACTGCTAAATGAATAATGAGAAGGGTAAAATTACCAAATATTTGTCTAATATTAAGCTGTAATAAAAATAACCCAGGAATAATGGTCAAAACCAACAGGCGATATAGTGGGTGTTTTCTACCGAAACTATGAATTATTTTGCTAAAAACAGAGCATACTGATTCTTCATATACATGGAAAAAAATTTTTTATGTTTAGCTACATTGTATTGTGATTCATTGCTATCAAGATTTGAAGTGGTAATCACTAACAGAATGTCACGAACACACCCTACTCCAAGAGTGCGCGTAACGTAGTTGTGGTTGTGAAAGGGTTAAAGTTCACTATTTGTCTGCACTAGACCGGAAATAATGACAAAATCCCCCTTTAACACCACCCACACTTAAACATAATAATATAACTGTCTCTGGCAAGGAAAGATGGTGACTCACTCAAAATTAGATCTTGGCCCCAAGCAAGTACACAAACACCCTTCAGAATCACAGGAGATATACCCTGTGAATTGCCACGCCTCCTCCTGGGGTGGAGCAATAGGGATACTAAGTGACCACCTCCTTTGTTCCAGAAACCATCAAGCCACATACAGACTTTTGGTTTTATCTCCTCTACTGTACTTGCCACAGAAATAATAATTGTCTCTATGAATTTGTTATGGTTTTCCCATTCCAAAGACATGTTGCACGCCCCGCCCACGATCCAATAGGATGGACATCACAAGTCCTGCCACACGGTTTAAGTTGTGCAACTCATGTTTGGGCTTAATTAAAAGATTGGGCTTGTCCCATTCCAAATATAATAAAAATGAGGCTTAATTATTAACCTGTGGGTAAGTATGAATGTTTCACTTGGATAAGATACTGGAACACAAGGATCTTCATGAAACTAATCCCATTACCATTTCAAAGGATTGAACTATCCTTTACAAGGTACATGCCAAATGGATGAAGAGACATTCAGACTTTTCCAAGTGTAGAACCTCACACCTTGCAGAGCCTTAATTACTTCACATCCATATAGTA